CTGCTTTTTATAACAATTCGGGGAGGTCGGGTAGCCTAGTGGTTAAAGTGTTTGCTTGTCACACTGAAGACCCGGGTTCAATGCCCCACAGTGTGAAGCCTGTTTCTGGTGTCCCCTGCCATGACAGTGCTGGAATATTGCTAAAAGCGTCACAAAACTAAACTCTCGCTCACTTTTAAAACAATTCAATTTCAAACTTTATAAAATTGGGGACAATCAGACAAAACAATTGCTTCCAAATCTAAATTGGACTCTTTCGTGAAATTATAAGTATAGCGATGGTGCTGACAATGAGAACAGACCAAGATCCCATTCAGAGTTTATCTGGGATTCAAACCCATGATCCTGGCACGGCCAAGAAGCAAAACTCTAAAGCAGCCCCTGTACATGGACTGTAATCTAGCCTCATGCAGGTTGCCTTCCAACTCCCTGTGCTCCTGGCATATTTGTCCCCTAACAGTTTATGAAATATTCACTCTAATCAAAAGAAGGCTGGCAGGGGACCAAGCCCTGTGACCAACTTGGGAAATCCAAACACCACATGTTCTTCCACCCACACCTGATAGTCCACGGGAATATGCCCCATGCCAGAGCACTGCTTGTGATCTACACTTAATTAGCACACATCTAATACGTGTAATATACGCAACAGGCTGTTAAAATACCACCATCGCTTCAAAACTGAAACATCAAATTTGATGGGTGGGAAAAAGCGTGACTTCATGAAATTCTCGAGGTAAATCAGAACACATTCCTGAAATTTAAGCAACAAAGATGAGTAATCTTCCCTTGGAGACAACTTCTTGCATATCCTCCACTTTAACATGAATCAAGCCATAACTATGACTCACACGTTCAACATTTCACAGATCAAACAATAAGATAGGGGACATATTCACCTGGCAGATGTTGTGCATTCCAACACTTTTCAATTACAGTGATGCTGGCATTCAAATTAGAGCAACTATGGTACGTCTGTTAACACATGTGGATGTGAACTCACATAAATACCCTCCCCATTAGCTTACAACAATAAATATTGCTGGAAGCAGTCTTGATGATGTTGATTGCCTTCAGGAATTCAATCAAGCATTAAGAGGTACTAAAGCAATCTTGCTAATGTCCGAAGTATGGTAACAGAACCATGCATGCATCAAAGATTACAAATGTACAAAATCCCCTTGATACCGCATACAGTTACCCCTCTGTAGCCAGGTAATTAGGTGTTATTTTCGGAAACACATGTACCTCATTACACAAGGTCAAATAACTTTTATCGTGTTTATAAGCTATCATGTTTTAATCCAATTAAATTGATTCCCTTGCAGACTACAAAACATGTTTATTAACCCTTTGGCCTTGACCTGTGACATATGCTTGTACTTATCCTAAGTGCCTGTGTCTATTTTGTAGTTCTCAAGGGCTGCTCTTTCTCCCCGGCAGGTTTAACTTGAAGGTTTCTTTTAAATAAGTCTCGTCACTTCAACCAAAGTATGGCAGGATTGACATGGAAGCAGTTTTGAAGTTTGATTGATAACGTCTGGTTAGAATCGTGTTTGGCCCTGAGAAAACACAAATTGCTTGTAAGATAATGTGCAAAAGTACACTAACAGACTCTTCAAAACAAGTATAGGCTTAAGAGGAATGTCCAAAATTGAACACAGAATCATCAGAGTAAATAGAAGAATTTGGTTTTTGCAGACGTTGCAGACTAACCACTTGCTTACATGCATGATTTTCACTTCACAGGCTGCCATACAGTATTTTTTTCATATATACTGCTCCAATGATATTTTAAGAATATTCAAGCCTGTCATGGAACTATAATCGTTCTGGTAGCATACTTGTAGGACAGTTTCTCAAGGACATAATACTTTATTCTTTTTATTCAAACACCTTTGGCTCGACAGACATATTACAAGAATGTTGATAATTACCTTTTGGACAGTGCTAAAAGAAACTCAAGGAAACATCTTGTCAGACTTACTGGACGACATGTTGGCAAGTAGATTGAGGCCTTACATGCTTCACAGTACTATTAAACAACAGTTATCACCAACTATGTTAGAGCTGGACATATTTCATCTGACTGAAATGCTGATTGGGAGGTCATTAATATGGGCAAAGAGATCACAAAGAAAACACAATTTATTGGCCTTCTTTGAACCTCTGTTCAAGCACAGTGTGTATTATATCTCTTTACAATTTGGTTTTAAAAAAAAAGCACGTGTCCTGCGCCATTACAGAATGATGAAAATAATTCTGTTTTTATTCCCAGAGTTTTGGTAGCGTCATTATATAAGTACATAAATAAAAGAAGTTGTTATCCATAAAGTTTGTTCAATATTGTACTTCCAAACTTCTAAAATGCCACTCAAAGAAGATGCAGTTTTGACCAGCACTACACACTAAAATTGTAATACACGAAAATTGATGTGAGTGTGCATGAATGCATATGTGCATGCGTGAGTTGGTGTAAAGACTGTTCTTATAAATACAGGATTATGACCACACAGCCAATGTTATATTAATGTTTTAGACCATAAATATAAATATCAGTTACTGAACACCGGGTTTATTGCCTCAAATGGTCGCTACAACAACTTTCAAGTTTTGCAATCAGTTTAAAGGGGTAGTTGGCTTGGGTGTGATAGTAACCTTGCAAGATTGTTTGAGGAGTTCAAATCCCACGTATGTGCACTGGTCATCTCAGCCTCACAATATAAACCATGTTTCAAGTAGTATAGCTCTCCTTTAACTAGTGAGTTTAGTTTTATGCCGCACTCATCAATATTCGAGCTAAATGGCGGCGGTCTGTAAATAATCGAGTCTGGACCAAACAATCCAATGATCAACAACATGAGCATCGATCTACGCAACTGGGATACCATGACATGTGTCAACCAAGTCAATGAGCCTGACCACCCGATCCCGTCTGTCACCTCTTGCGACAAACATGGGTTACTGAAAATCAATTCTAACCCAATCTTCACAGGTCAGAAGCAGATCACAACTTTACCATTTCGGTGAAACCAACAAGCACAGGTTGGCGGTTACAAACCATGAAAGATCATCAGGGCAAATCCTGAGTTTAAACCCACAATCAAAATTCCGGCACACATGAGGTTCACAACTCTACACAGTGAAAACCAGCACATAAGCCAACAGGAAACTAAGTCACATTCTAGTGTATAATAGCCAGAGAAAGAAATTCCTTCAAACATTAAACAACCATTTGAGTATGTTTGTGCGAAGATGGTGAATACTGCATCAAGACAGAGTGAATACCTGCATCTGGGGAAGCTGCATCTGCACATCAACTCAGTTTGCTGAAGCAACATCTCATCAAATAACACCACCTGCAAGCCCCGCCATCACACACCATCACCACGCACTCCACTTTCAGTCTCAAGGCTCTTACATGCTCAACATCTGGGACTGTTTTCTTTTCATTTTTCACAAACTCTTCCCTCAAGTTACACAATATTTTCCTCCTGAAATGCTTGTCAAGGTTACTTTGTAACCCTTCCGATAAAAGTGATAAATATAGACAGAAGGCCTTAGTAGAGAGACACCAAAGAGAAGGGGAAGAGAGCTGCTTTACTTGAAGAAATCCCTTTACACAACATCTGATGTTTCCAAGATTCCCATGAAGATATGGCAAAGATCATACAGATTTAACCATAGATTAACGCCATCATTAACAGAAGCAACATAAAGTTGTAAATGAAATTTGTTTTACTGCCACTTCTGACTTCCCATAATATAAATATTCACATGTGTCCCATTCATGTTGTCATGGTGTAGAGTGAAGGAATAATTTCAGAAACTCAGAATCTTTGTGGACAATGTTGCTGAGTGTGGTATTAAAGAGAGATACATAAGTGAGTGAGTACAGTCTTTCGCTGCTATTTGTAATATCCTAGCAACATCACGGTGAGGGACACCAGAAATGGGCTTCCCATATTGTACTCATGTGGGGAATCAATTTTTCCGTGATGAACGAACACATCAAGGCTACCCCATCGCCCCACAAACAAATGAATGAAGTAGTCTTTACTTATAGAAGACAAGAAGAAACATCAAAACCATGAAAATATTCCAAATAATTTATCTTAGTTCAAGTGATTTTTATGTCACCATGCTTGTCATTTGTACCAACAAGCGATGTCTCATCTTGATTGTTCTTGCTCCCCAGTATTATGTTGTTGTCGTGGCGTTGGATCATTATGGTACAATTTACAACCAAAAAACATCCATACAAATGACACTGTTCGCTTGTGATGTAACCTGTGAGGTGAGGTGAAATTGGGTTTAACGTCGTGCTTGATAATATTTCGCTCATATGACGACGTGCATGCGTGTGTATGTGTATGTACGGCTGCTTGTACTAGCCCAGACTTAAGCTGGTTTTATAGTGCTAGCCCACTGAGATACCATGCCGCAGTGAAGCATGAATATCCCACTCAGACACATTATACTGACTCCGAGCCGACCAGTCCTTGTTGTACCCATTAATGCCGAGCGCGCCAGGCAGGGACCAACATGTACCATATTTTAACGTCTTTTGGTATGACGCGATCGGGGATCAAACCCACGGCCTTCCGCACTCCGGGCGGACGCTCTAACCACTACACCACGGAGGCGGTCCTGTAACCTGTAACCAGTACCAGTAGTGACTTGAGTTTTGCCTGATGTCTTAAACACAACCAGGACCCTGTACTTCATTCAGGCATGATATCATCATGGCGCTGGGACCATTTGTTGAATGGGGATATCTCTGGATATCTTCTAACATAAGGAGTTCCCTCACCTAGTCTCAGCACAAAAGAAAGTTCATTCATAACAGTCTGATGATTTTCTGATGGCTTGCTTAAAAGAGTACCTGTGTAGGTCTATGCTGGTCATGTCCCTTCCACAGCCACAGAGCTATGGTGTTGAGCTATGATGCATTGGAAAAACCCTGAAGGAGAAGAAGAAGATGAGGAATTGTTTCTCACCTGTATGTCTTGCACAGAACAAGTCTGGAATACACACTTTGGAAATCCTTCTCCACCTCTCTTGTTGCCGTCTGCAAAAATAACAATAATGATACCAATACTGATGATGATGATGATGATGATGATGATGATGATTTTGCTTATGGATGAACAAAGTCACTTGCCTGAGCATGCTATATGACTACTTTATTTGAGGTATCAGATGAGCCTCAGGTCAAAGGTCACGTCTGTGGAACAGTCTTCCAGATAATATTTTAAGTCAATACGTATTTACTAAGATACACAGATCTTTTCCTCATGATCTTAAATGGATCACAATCAATCCTATTAATTATGCTGGCATTACTGATTTGGGTTCAACAGTACTTTGAGAAGGGAGTATCTGAGTGAGTGAGTGAGATTCTGAGTGAGTGAGATTCTGAGCGAGTGAGTGAGTGAGTGAGTTTTAGGCTGTTTTCTGCAATATTCCAGCTATATTATCGAGATTCAACCTTGAATAAGGAAATTCTTATTCCGATTGGTCAGTGAGAGGTTTCAAATAACAGTGACCACATCTAACTAAAACTGGTTTTAATGACCGCATCACATCATGTTGCATTTCAAACCAGGGCCACTGGTGTGCTTATCAAACACCTTCACAATAAGACTACCTAACTGCACCTACAGCCTTGAGACCTGGTTAGACATGGCAGACTCAAACTGCTTCACTGAGAACCCCTTTAAGGAACAAAAGCTACCAAAGCACTATGAAAACACAAACCACTGGCAATGTTCATTGCTGCTTTTCTAAGCTGTGATTTATGACAAGTTTAATAGCTTCAGGGACATCCCACCCTTATTTATACTACAAGTATATAAGAATGCATTCAGAAGCAAAACATTGGTGTTTGGTTACCTGTCAAATGGTCCAGTTGACCTTGGGTGTCAACAACACCTGTCTTAACGGCCACACCCGTCTCCTCAAGACACAGGGCAGGTGTAACACCTGAGCCTCCCTCCCCTCCCTCAATGGACACAGACACAACACCCCACCACTTACCCACTGCTGTACTCATTTGATACCAAGTAATGAAACGGCCAGGCTGATTTTATCCCAACCAAACTGCCTGACTGGGAGCCATTTAAACAACTACTTCAAACTTAATTGAAACTCAACCAACCAGGTCCTGAACCTTCCATTGAAACACTAACACGATCATCTTTCAAATAATCCCTAGGGATTATCATCAAGTAACTCAACAGCGACTCTATAACACAACACAGCCAGCCTATAACACAACACAGCGACAACGGTGAATCGGGAATGCTTCTCAGGACAAGTACATATAAATCCCTTGTTATGGAGAATCTATTTTCTCTCCATGTAAATTGATTGCCCCATCCGAGCCTAATCCAATGCAAATTGCCCAGCTTAAGTAGAAGAAACAACAATGAGTATATCATGCGCTCCTTGACATGTACACTCAAACATGGCTCTGTATTTGTTTTATACTTAGTGTCAGTACAGCCAACAATGCATAGTGGTAGTGACATCGGACTCCTTCGTACACTCCACATCATGCAATTGGGCCCCAAAAGGCACTTAATCAGAGTTGCTTCAAAACACATGGCATCATGCAAACAGATGCTTATCTTTAGATTTCAGACTCTGTTTAGAATTTCAATGCCAATAAAAAGCTCGGGCTGGATTTTCAATTACAGAATCTAATTTAACCCTTCATTCATGAAGCAATTAGCTGCATTTAATTAGGTGTTAACAGGTGGATGGAACCTGTGTGGGGATAATTAGTTTATGTCAAGTGTATCTCAAACGTTATAGATACAGTAACATTGCAGATAGCCTGTTTGAGGGACTGATGAGGGTAACCTGGTTAAAAAACTGAGTTTGATAGTCTTTAATCACATGTAGGAGGGGAATTGATCTGACTCATTAACAGATGTGCCTCTCTACCTGTTAAACTTGATCCTAGAAAACACTGGAACTTAAATTCTTGACAGTCACAAAACATTCACTCTTCCTAAACAGATGTGCTTCTCCTTCTAGTTAACTTTATCCTGTATATTTTATTCCTAAACTTTTCAAACTTTCATATTATAAAGTACTTCAGGAAGCTTATAATTTCAATTTCAACGAAAAACAAAATGTTTTTATGCCTATTATATTACAAATTCTACTGTATGATGAGTAACAGGTCTTGCCTTAGCTGTAATATAGGTTCACTGATGTAATATGCTAAATAACTGCATAATCTTAGCATAAACCTAAATTTAACCAATCAAAATGCTTGTATGCTTACAGTGCTAAGAATAAATCAAACTTGGCTCTGTCTCTACATAGTTGTTTCAGTGCACAGAGAAAGTATATTCAGGGAGGGTAACTACATTTGAACTCTTGTTTTCTGGACATTTTCACAATTTATAAATTTTCTGAATCCTTAAAAATCTGGAATTGATTTGAGTTGCCACACCTACATACACCCCAAACCTCAAGAAATATAATACTATTTCAAAATATTGTAACTTACTTTTTTCAGCATGTTTATATTAGAAAATGCATATTAGAAAACTCCTTGTTGGAAAAATGTTATGAGATTGGACTAGTTGTGATCATTACACTGGATCATGTAAATTCATTTGCATACATTAAACAACACATACTAATCACACATCTGTTCATCTCATTAAGTTAAAAATAAAATACAAAACAAAACACAAAATACTTTTCTGTGGGTTAGACAAAGACATTGTTGTTGATTCAGGCTGTATTACTTTTAAGCTTACATTTGTATCAGTCATAGAGTTTTCAGTTGTACATCGCCGCATTCTGAAGAGGACCCATGAAGATAGGTTAGAATTGGCCTTCAGCAATCCATGCATGTCATAAGAGGTGACTAACAGGATTGGGTGGTCAGGCTCACTGACTTGGTTGATACATGGCATCACATCCCAAACACGTAGATCGATGCTCATGATGTCAATCACTGGATAGTGTGGCCCATACTCAGTAGGGCCGGTGGGGTAGCCTAATGGTTAAAGCGTCAGCTCATCAACCTGAAGACATGGGTTCGAATCCCCACAAGGGTGCAATGTGTGAAGTCCATTTCTGGTGTCCCCCACCGTGACATTTCTGGAATATTGCTAAAAATGGTGCAAAAAACAATTTTCACTCACTCCATACTCAGTTATTTACAGGCTGTTGCCAAATAGCTGGAATATTCCAGAGTGCATTATTAAACAAGAAAGAAAACTTATGAAAACCCCCAACTGAATCCTCCAGAACAAATGACAAATGTTTCACACATATGAGGTATTGATATGAAGACTTGGGTTTGACGCTCCTCATGATGCTCTGTCAGCATAATAATACACAATATAACCACCTAATCCTCAAAAACTGACTAATAAAAAGTGAAGCACTGATGGCATAATCTACCAGGGAAACCCTGTCAACGATACATCAATATCCAGGGTATCCAATGGATGATTTGAAGCACTAGATTTGTTCAAATTATTTTAAGCATATTTTATTACTTCAGCTCTTGGAATTTCAAAGCCATGTTCCCTCACACAAGTACAAACATGGTGATAAAAAGAAACCGGCAAAGGTTGGAACATATTACTCTTTGCACAGAAAAGAAAAAACACAAACCATTCATGAAAATACTCTCCTCTTGAGCAACAACATAAACGACCCATGGTATTACACCAACAGTACAAAATACCCTTCATCTAGCGCTTATCAAAGAAAGGGCAGATCTGTAACAAATGTCCAAATGTTAAAGAATCTGTAGCTTCGCTTCCTTGCACAACATCCGCCACTAATGTGAAAGATGTAGCAACACAACAGGAACCTAGTTTTTATGAATGTAGACGAGGTAGTGATAGGAGGGGGAGGAGGGCCTTGTAACACAGGTGGAGGTGCTTCTGATGTTCTTCCTGCTGTCTAATCTACATTGCCTCCCTTATCAGATAAACGGCCATGATTTATCAAGACAGTTTTTGCTGAAATGACAACTTGTTCCTCTACTGAGTACCACAGCATGCCCACCTGCTAATGGAAACTGGATCCAGTCAATGGAGATCTCCTGCCCTCTTGGTCTGGTTCTGTGTATTCTACTTCCTCATTGGTCAAGGTTAACATATTGTTTTTCTGCATTGGTCAGGTTTAGTATGTGTTTCTTCTTGATCAGACTGATTTAGTATGTTCTTCTCCCTCAGTGGTTGAGTTTCCTCCTCATTGGTCAGGCTGAGCATGTTGTCATTCCTCACTGGTCAGGTTTGGTATGTTCTTGTTCATTATTGGTCAGAGGTTATTGTGCTTGACAAGACTGTTATAACATGATGATGTAGACATTTGCATTTACATTATATTTGTCGCAAAAATACACTGACAGAACCATCTCTCTCATCACAGACTTGTCACAAACATTTCTCTCGCTGATGAGTGTCATTTAACTGAACAACTATTTATATTATGGCAGGCCGCCATTTATGACTGTCCAAGGAATTATACATGGTTACCGTTTCAACCCTGTAAATTTGGAGACGATTATTTAGTTGTTTTGTCTGAAATCAAAGATGGCTAGATGGCATAAATTTGAAAAATATATCCAATTATCCACACAAAATATCAGCGGGAGTCCATGAAGTCATTAAAGCAAAGTCAGCAGCTTGTACAAAATTTATGGACACTGGCAAAAGAAAGATAGAGATGGCAGATGACTTGGAACAACATACCTCACATTGCCTTTCAGGACAAGTGAGCTTTAACGAGACTGCATAAAGCAAAGATAAACTGTGGGTAAACTACATAGCTGCACAATGCTTGTCACCCTGTTTTCTCAGGTGGAAACCTGACCGTCTCAACACCTACATACACCATAACCACCTGGGCTTAATTATAATTTCTAATTCCAGCAAATAAATATCATGGCTTAAATGCAAACAAACACTTTTTTCGTGGATACCTTCACCTGTATAACCATAATAAGATGCATCATTCAGCTCTCACCAAGCTTACATGCCACACAAAAAAGTAGGAAGTACACTAAATCCTTGCCTAACACCTATC